TCCCAAGGCAAGGCTCATTGGAGGGGGCAGAACTTAGAATCTAGGAACAAGTGTAAGTGCAATAGAGGGAATTAAGGGATGCCAAGGCATGCTGGTGGTCATGCCCAGCAACATAGAATGCTGGCACACCCCTGACCATGCCTACTAGCCAAACATTGGAGAGTCAGGACCTATTGAAGGTCAAACCATGGCCTGGGCAGTAATTGGGATACTGTCAGGCCAAGGTTTCAACTCGACACATAAAGGGGATTAGGGGTAGGGATTCATATGAGAACAAAAGCAAAGAAAGGAAAAATACTTAGCATAAGCTACGAAGCATGAACAACAAACCACACAAAAGTATGAGACTATAGAATAAACACATAGGGATGAGGCAAAAGTTTAGATAAAGGCATACCAGTTTCAGAAAAAGACAAGCAAAAGAGAGTAGAAGTCTTGCAAAGAAGCCACAGCACAAACATCAAGAGAGAATACTTTGTGTGTGAGTGTGAGTACAGAAAAGACTCCAGTGTTCGTGTTTTTGTTGTGTTGGGTGTTAATAAAAGAGCAGGTATTTATAGTGTGAGAAACATGCAGAAATAAGGTAAGGACTGTAATTCAGACATAATTGGAGGAATATGTGTCTTATTAAAATCAAATCAGTATCAAAGACTTCCTTTAATAAAGCAATCAAACCAAACGGTAGCATGCAAGTGTTAAATAAGGAAAGAAATCACGAAGGGCTGGACATGACAAATAAGGAAATATTTTCAGCACAGTACGAGTATACCACATGTATTAGGGGTTAAGTTCATTAGACCTTAATTAAGGAAAGGCCTGTAAGAATCCCATACTAATGTAATTAAGGTAATGGGATCAAATCAACTTAAGTAGAAAGGCAGGGTCTAAAGGAAAATATTTCAACAAGTCCAAGAAACAAAGGAAAGGACCAATTCAAGAGTGCAATCAAAGTTACACAAAGAGATTTGAAATCAGTCCACAATCAAGGTTATTTTGAGAGGGAAATTTGACTTATAAAGAGTGCATAAATATTAAGCATGCGAGGTTGGATTTAAGACAAAGAAGGGTGTCATGCAATCAAAGAAAATCAGTGAGTAGAGGACCATAGGAACATGATAGTCATCTCAGAAAAGAGGGAATAGCATGCGAAAGGTCAAGTAAAGAGGTCAGAATCGTATGAAGAAACAAAGTTGACACAAAGATTTCGAAACTCAGTCGAACAGTAGAGGAAACAACTTCAGGAACTCAAATAGGTCCAAAGAGACTAGGGTTTTGAAATCAACACGTGCAGAGATAAGAAACAAACAAATAATCTCAAAACTCGAGTGAACCCCAAATTCTAAGGTTTTTTTACCATTAATCGAGTCTAGAGATGAAGACAAGTAAGTCAAGCAAAAAGAAAATATTAACGGAATAAGTGCAGAAATCATAATGGAACACGTATTTCCCAGTAGAAGAAAAACATAATAAAGAACAATCATGCAAAAAATACAGTAGAAGAACTCGTAAGAACAAGCTAGAAGAAACACAGTAGAAGAAGAACATAAGGATCATAGAAGAAACATAGTAGAAGAAACATAGTAGAAGAAACATATAAGGATCACAGTAGAGCATGTTAAAAAGATCAAAAAAACCCTAAACCGGGGAAGATGAAAAGGTTAAAAAGCAAGTTTTGAAAGAAACTTTTGAGAAATCGTTTGAGACCCCAAGATAAACACAGATCTAGGAAAGATGTAGAGAAATCAGAAGAACCTCGAAAGGTTTGGGTTTCAGAAGAAACCTAGAAGTGAGAAAGGCTTGGAAAACTCGTGGATCTAAGCCGGAGAAGTTAGACTCAGGCTCGAGCGTCCCCGATATGCCGGAGTAGAGCCGGAGACGACCATGGAACCCTGAATCGAAGGAGATCTGGGTAGAGATCTTCAAGGTCGGGCCTTGAATCTTCAGAAAATCGGTGTATAAGAGCACCAGGGGGTGGGTGTGAGATCCCCATGGCTTTGGTGGCCATAGATTCCGGTGGATCTCTGGTCTGAGACGGTAAGAGGCGGCTAGGGTTTGAGAACCCTTGAGAGAATTTGAGAGAGTGGAGGGTTTCAAAGGCGGCGGCTGAGGAGAAATGAGGTAGGGTAAGGGGTCATTTGAATTAAAAAAGGAAAGGGATGAGGGGAGCCGTTGATCTAAAAGATCAACGGCTGGGATTAAAGGGGTTAAATAGGGACCGGGTTTGGGTATGATAAGAAAGGGTATGGGTTGGGTTACAATAGAATTGGGTCGTTTGATTAGGGTGTGAATGGGGGTCCAATTTGAGCTAAATTGAAATACAAAAGGGTTGTCGCTTAAATAGCCAGTTTTCCCCCTTTTAATTTATAAAAATAGTAAAAAAAATGACTTGAAAATAAATTAAAGGTACTGGACCAATTAATAATATATAAATATTAATGTGAAAATACTAAAAGTGATTTTATAATTATAGAATGATGTTAATCGTAAAATAGGCTATAATTATAATTATACGCAATTAGCTTAAAAAATACCAAATAAATATATAAAAATGTACAAAAATTACCCCAATTATATCTTAGGGTAGATATGAGAATGAAATAAATTATTCACTAAAAAATGCTAGTTTGGGAATAATTATTGAATTTTGTAGTATTAAAATAGACAATAAATTGGTTTTAAAATCTTAAAAAATAAAGGAAAAATACCAAAATTTTGTGGCATGCTTATATATGCATGTACATGCTATTTTGAAAGTATTTTGCATATATAAAACTATAGGGAAAAATTGGGTATCAACAGCGTGTCCTCTTCTGCGGTCCATGGTCTGCTCTTGCGGGAGCGCAACTGCGTAACAACTCCGCTTCTACGACCCCAGCTTCCCCTGACAAAAATCCGCATCTACGACAGCTTCATCGCATCTGCGGGCTCGCAAATGCAGAAACAACCTGTCACTTGCGGCCACTACCCAGCCTAGCCAAAACCCCGCATCTGCGCCTTCCTGGCTGCATCTGCGGCTTCGCACCTCTGGCCAATTTTTCGCAGGTGCGGTTGCACCAGAACTAAACATAACAGAATTTCCCTAAGTCCAAAATTCGATTCGATTTCCATCAGAATCACACCCGAGGCCCTAGGGACCCCCTCCAAACATATCAACACATCCTAGAACATTATATAAACTTAGTCGAAGCCTCAAATGTCATCGAACAACATCAAAAACACGAATCGCACCTCAATTCAAGCCTATTAAAACTAATGGATTCCCAACTTCTACAATCGATGCCGAAACCTATCAAACCAATTCCGATTGACCTCAAATTTTGCATAGAAGTCATAAATAACATGAAGGACCTACTCCAACTCCCGTAACCAAAATCCGAGCCTGGTATCAACAAAGTGAACTCTCGGTCAAAATTCTCAACTTTCCAAACCTTCAACTTTCTAACTTTCTCCAATTCAAGCCAAAATGACCTACGAACCTCCAAATCAATATCCGAACATAATCCTAACTCCAAAAACAACACACGAAGCTATCAGAACCATCAATACTCCACTTCGGAGTCGTTTACTCATAATTCAACATCCGATTAACTCTTTTAACTTAAGCTTCCAACCTTGGGACTAAGTTTCCCAATTCATTTCGAAAGATCCCCGGAACCAAATCAACCACCCCGGCAAGTCACATAACTACAAATGAACATAGAATAAGTAATAAATAAGGGAACGAGGCTACAATACTCAAAACGACCGACCTGTTCGTTACACTTTATCTAAACCTCTTTTTGAACATAGACTTTATTTTATTATTTTAGGAGGTACACAACACAATTTTGGGAGACTTTTAAAAGGAGAATTCATCTATATCATTGTGGTAAGAAATATTAACTTATATCTATGATTATAACTTGGATTTATCATTAATTTTGACTCTAAATCAAGGAATCTGAAAAAGGAGTTTTTTATTTGAAAGATAAGATAGTGCATTTCAGGATTTTGAACACTGATTCGACACAGATTTTAAAACTAATTACATATTGACGCGTGACGTTATAGGTTAATGAGATCTAACTTTTGTACAAGGATATAGTATTAGGAGGTTTTACATACATTTGAAGTTATTTTATGGAGGTCTCGATTCGTTTGACCAAAAATTGCAACTGACAGACTTTGAATTCAACAATTCATTTGAAACTAATCTAAATAGAAGCCCTTCTTTCTTAAAGTCAACTTTCTCCCTTCTTGCTTTAGTGAAATAAGGGGCACTAGCGCGACCTTCCTTCAGCTGGCTTGAACACCAGCGTAATGTGCTTGAGTTTTACCTTTAAAATCTTCAAAGTTTAGCATATAATGCTCCAAAGTCCAGCATACGTTGCTGGAGTATAACCTGTACTTAATTTTTGAACTCCAGTACAATGTGATGGAGATACACTTGTAAAAGCTTCAAAATCTAGTAATCTTTTCTGGAGTTCTTCCGTATATTAAGTAGGGATATTTTTGTTCAAATATTATTTTTCGTGTCAGGGTATTTTTGTCCATTTCTTTTTTGTAATTAAAAGAGTAGCTAAATGCTAATAGCTCTTTAAATACTGGCTAAACTCTAATACATGTGATTAAAAGTGACTATTACTTTCACAAACATTTATATATTATTATAATAGTCCGTATTCTTTCTCTATTATTAAAAATTTTGCTCTCTCTTGTGCTTTTTAAACTGTGGAAATATCAATTCAACAGATTAGCAACTTCTACGGGAATTAACGAACCCCTCCACGGGAATAAATCAAATAAAATAAAAGAAAATTAATCTTTTTCCACCCAAAAATTCAATGATTCTAAAAAGTTTAACTAAACTGTAGCTTTATTTTGGAAAATATTCCATTAGCGATCCGTATTATGGTGCTGAAATGGAGGATATTTGTACGGTCGTTGAAGCAAGTCAAGAGGAAGAACACATAAGGGAGAAATTAAAAGTTTAATTATATGGAAGAGAAGAAGAGGGAAGAACAAAAAGTTGTACTTAATTCTCTGTCTTCTTTTCTCGATTCTTGTTTCCTTTCAATTTATCCTTTCATTTCAAAAGAGAATCCTTCAAACATCTTCATAAGTTTTGTGATTGTCTTCTCACAAATTTCCAATAATTTCAGTTGTGTGGCAGGTATAATTATATATATAAGTACTGTATGTGGCACATAATGTTCTTTACTCGAGATTTAATGTAAAGTCTCATACATGCATGTTCAATATCATGACAATATTTTTTCTTGAACGGTGTTTTTAGACTAACTTGCGCGCAACTCAACTATTTCATTAGGTACTTGGTATCTGCCCTCTCCCACCAACATATTTACTGAGTAACTCTGCCCACCAAAATTTTTGTAGATGGATAAAAATCACCCAACGATTCTTCTTTCTATATTTGTTATCTGTCGTTTTTAGGATAACTCCAGTCCATAACTTTTACCCACTTCATTAACCATTAGACCTTCATCTTTGTGTGCCAATAATATGACTAATTAATAGTAGATATTTGTTGTTTTCTTCAGGTTAAAACTGCCACCCTGCTGAATAACTGAAGAGGAAAGTATTAGTAATTGATACATGCGGGAAAGCTAACTTCATGGCACCAAGCAAGCTTAGAAAAGCTATTGGCGCTGTCAAGGACCGGACAAGCATAAGCTTGGCCAAAGTTGGAGGCAGCAACTGCTTGTCTGACCTAGAAGTTGCCATTGTCAAGGCGACTAGACATGAAGAGTACCCGCCCGAGGAGAGGCACATTCGAGAGATTCTAAGCTTAACTGCTTATTCTCGAGCCAACATCTGTGCTTGCGTCGATAACATCTCTAGACGTCTTGGCAAGACAAAGAACTGGGTTGTGGCGCTCAAGTCAGTAATGTTGATCCATAGGTTGCTCTCCGATGGTGATCCCTCTTATGAACAGGAGATTTTCTTTGCCACGAGACGGGGAACCAGGCTTCTTAACATGTCTGAGTTTCGAGACTCCAAATCCAATTCATGGGACTATTCTGCACTTGTCCGTACCTATTCATTGTACCTTGATGAACAACTTGAGTATAGGATGCAAAGCCGCCGTGGAAAGCGTAGTGCCTATGCCTACGACGAAGATTTAGAGGAAACTGGTCCTAATGCCATCATGGTGAAACCTACTCCATTGAGGGAAATGAAGAATGAGGACATTTTCTCAAGAATCCAATACCTCATGCAACTCCTTGAGCGATTCTTAGCATGTAGACCCGCAGGTTTGCGCTTTAAATTCCCTTCTAGTCAAAAATACTAATTCATTTTTCTATCCAACTATTGAGTTCAAACGCACAAAACAAAAAAGATCGAATCATAAAATGACATAAGATGAGAATAATACGTGAGGTATATGAAATTTGAATTTTCATACCATGTGCGATACCCATTCAAGGGCTTGCACAAAATAGGTGCTTTAGTTTGGTCTTTTTCTACCTCTTCTCCCAGCCACCCCTAGGCCCTAACAAAAACATGTCTTTCGTACATGATTCTAATTAATGTTTGCCCTGTTGTAAGAGCAGGTTTGGCAAAGACCAACAGAATTGTATTCGTGGCTCTCTATCCACTTGTGAAGGAAAGTTTCCAACTATACTACGAAATAACGGAAATAATAACTATCTTGATCGATAAGTTCCATGAACTATCAATCCCCGACTCTGTGAAGGTTCATGAGATTTTCTGTCGTATTAACAAGCAATACCATGAGCTTGAACAATTCTACAATTGGTGTAAAACTGTTGGAATTGGACGCTCTTCTGAATATCCAGATATTGAGAACATTCCACAGAAGAAACTTGACCTTATCGATGCATTTATACGGGAGAAACCCAAATTGGAACAGAATGGGAATGCAATGCATTATGAACCAAAGAGAGAGCTGGTTGAAAAAACTCAAGAGCCAGAGCCAGAGCCAGAGTTAGAGCCTCAACAGGAACAGGACATGAATGCTATTAAGGCATTACCACCACCAGAGGGAATTCCTGAAGATACAAATCAAGAAGAAAAGACAGAGGTGGCAAAAACCCAAGAAGTAGGCAACTTGTTGAACTTGGGTGAAGATGCACCAACTATGGAAGAGCATGGAAATCAATTGGCTTTAGCCCTCTTTGATGGTGGTCCAGCAACTGCTGCTCCTTCTACAACTTCACCATGGGAAGCGTTCAAAGATTCAGGGGATTGGGAAACAGCACTCGTTCAGCACACGAGCCATTTATCAAACCAGAAGGCTTCCCTTGCTGGAGGCTTCGACACATTAATGCTAGACGGAATGTATCAACAAGGAGCAGTAGCTCAGGTGGTAGCCAGCTCAGGTGTTGTAGCTACTGGAAGTGCTAGCAGCGTCGCGCTTGGATCAGCCGGTCGGCCGGCAATGCTAGCCTTGCCTGCACCTCCATCTGCAGGTAGTGGACCTAACACAGCCGGCACAAGCACTGACCCTTTTGCAGCGTCACTGGCAATAGCTCCACCACCATATGTTCAGATGTCAGAAATGGAGAAGAAACAAAGATTGTTAGTAGAAGAACAGGTAATGTGGCAACAATATCAAAGGGATGGAATGCATGGACAAGTAGGATTAGCAACGGCACAACCAAACCCTTGTGCATACAATATGGGAGGATACACAAAAACCTTCTAGTGGTTCCCTTAATTAGATACAGAAGAACGATCCATGGTCGTTCTCTTTGTGGTCTGCGATGTTCAGTAAAGAGCAAAAGAGGCATTCAGGAAGAAGGAACGACAAATAACTATTCAAGCTCACATTTTGATTAATGTCTTGATTGCCTGCTCCACGAGTTAGGAACAATTTTCCAAATATGATATACAACAGTTGCAGAACTACATGTTAGAGAAGATTTTATATCACAGTACGTAATGTAATAATTTGCAATTTTCACTTGTGTCTTTTTCCTCTTTTCCTTTCTACAGTAAGCTCTGAAGTGATTATTCAAGCATATATATGGCATACAGTGATTTTTTGTATATTATATCGAAATGACAAGTAAAACCTTATCAAAACCATCACTGACGGATGCGCATTTTGATGGTTTAATCAGTATATTTAGAAGGCATGATGGAAGTGACTATTGGTAAATGGTGCTGGACCTCTAAAACCCTAGTGCTAGCCTATATATGCACCATTATGCATGTTGAAACGACACGCTTTTCTTTATACTAGAGATGATTAGGGTACATACCAAAAGATTAATATCTGCATCGATGGGATTTTTAGGTTATGGACATAGGAAATTAATCTGCTACGCGAGAATTCCCAACAACCAGTGACATAAGTGGTGGTTGCTACAGATTTGCTTCCCAAAGGGAAACCTATAAGTCTCCTAACTAGTATTTTTGAATTAAATACTTCATTAGTGTCAGAGCTATAGGGTTTTAGCTATTTGAATAACCCTGAATGGAAATTGTAATATTTCATGTCTGTAAATTTCTGTATGAAACCTTAGGAATTTTGTAGACCTCAGTGTGAGCTTTTGCATCGATATGTAGGTAATATTTTTGGCCCTATAATTGGTGAGATATTGAATTTCAAAGTTTAAGGTTTAATTATCACAAATCAAACTTCAAAAATTCAATAATCCTTATTTCATGAATTCTTTTTGCAAATTATGTTGGGTTCAATTACTGTAATGCCCTATAAATTTCTACAAGTAATTTGGGTTGATTTCTATAAGAGGTTGTGAGTTCGAGTCACCCCAAGAGCAAAGGTGGGGAGTTCTTGGAGGGAAGGATGCTGGGGTCTATTGGAAACAGCTCTCTACCCAGGGTAGAGGTAAGGTCTGCGTACATATTAACCTCCCCAGACCCCACTAGTGAGATTATACTGGGTTGTTATTGTTTCAACCTTATAGAATACAATGTATTAAACCCGAGCTTCATGAGGTTTCTTGAGTGAAATAAAGTTATTAGAATACTTGAAATTAATTATTTTATTAATGGTTGAGTTTTGAATTAGTAGTAATTAATAGGTCATCAATAACACTTAGAAAAATATTTAAAAGAAAGAGAACTAAGATTTCAATTCTTGGAAACACTTGGATAACGAAATGCATGTTTGGAATAAATGGAATGAGAAATAAAAATTTTAAACAAAAGGTTGGTAGTGGGTAAACAAGAATTAGGGAGACAAGGAGACAAGGAAATTTATCTCTTCAATTTGGCTGGAAAAGTAGGAGACAACCAAAAGGAATTTAAGAAAAAGAATGCTTCAAGGATAGAAGATGGACCTTGTGCGATAGCATCCCCGACGTTACCATCCGGGTAAGAGAGATGTTTTATTATTATTTGGTTCAAGTCTTTGAAGGCTAGAGAGAAGGGAGAGCTCCTACCCTATGAATGCTACCTTGAGGTGTGTATTTGGCGCTTCTTTGGTAGATTTGGTCTATTAGTTTCATCTTCTAATACTCCTGACTACATGGAATTCATAGATTCTCGAAGAATCTCTCAAGAACATTTCAAGAATACAAGTTTTGAAATTATAGGGTTTGACATAAAGGTAATTTCTTCACTCCGACCTTATATATTATAATCCATGGATTTAGTAGAGTATATTTATGAAGAAAGATTTGTATATAAACATCTATTCATTGGAAAGGATGATGAATAGTGTTGGGTTTTGCTAGAGCGATGTCGTTTTGAGCTTCTAATTGTAAGGCTAGATTCCATAACACATTTAATGAATGAATTGGAGTTATAACTCAAGGAATGATTTTCAAGTGGTGAAATAAGGATTTTTGTGAAATTTGGACCTAAGTGTTAGACACTTAGTTTGGTTTGTATTGTTGTGACGAGCTATTGATACATGTGAGCTCATATATGTAGATTATGAATTGTTGATGTCATTAAGCTTTGGGATAAGATTTGGAAAGCCACTCGAGGTAAGTTGATTAAAACTTACGCTACTTGAGGGATTTTGTCTAAACATATATTTTGACTTGATACATGAGATTTTTCGTGAATGTGTATCCGTACTCGCAGGGGCAAGCGAGAAGGGATGTCACCATGTGTTTTTGAGTCGTGTTGCATATGAAATGGTGTCATGTTGTTTTGAAAAATCTTATTTTCAAAAACTTGTTAGCAAATGGCACTTGAGGTAAACGTTATAAGTTTTATTAAAAACTCATGTTGATGATAAAGGGATTAAAGTTCTATTATTACCTTTGTTTTATAAAATAAAAAACGTAATATTTCTAAAATCTTTATATTTTGAAGTAGCACTTGCGAAACCTTTAAGGGTTGAAATCTCGTTTTTTTATGCTTCATATAAAAGAAAGGATACTCATTTGATTTGTTCAAACGATTTGGATTGACTATGAACGGGATGATTTGATAAAATAGATACTTTGAGGCTACTTGGCTATGAATTTATTTTGAAGTATCAAATATTTTGGGAGTTACTTGTGTGATTGGCTTCGAATATATCGTGTTCGTCGTTATGAAACTACGTGTGTCGGTGTAGGGGTAGATGACCATATTGTGGTATAGACTACGACAGAGCATCCTCCTTGACAGGGTGTTATTTGTGCTATTACTAGCATGACTGAGTTGATTCGTACGACACTAAGATGAGTCGACCTGAGCAATTAAGGTACATGATACTTGCCTCTAGATACATAACCTAGTTGGCCTTCTTGTGTCGGTGACGGTATAGTACTCCTGGTGAAAGGTAAAAGATGATTTTGTTATGTATAGGCCTATGGAGCCGAAAGTGATTTCAATGACATAATAAATTTGAAATGGTTTCATCGGTTAATCTAAGTATTTTAAAAAAAGTTTGTATCATGTATTACATTTTACTACTTCTTTTTATTTATTATAATAGAGTATGAACTGATATAAGGGTTTATCGCTTTATATAAAGTGTTGGTTGCATATGTTTTGTAAAGACTTGTCCTAGGAACTTGAGTTAGAGATAGTTTATGATACTTATTGAGTACCATAGTGGTTGTATTTCACGTTTCACGCTTTCAATTCTTTACTTTCAAGGAACATCAACATATAAAATATTCCTGTAATCACAATTTTAAGTTCATTAGTAATGAAGGCTTTAAACACATTAGATCCCTTTTCAAAGTATGGAGCACAATGACTTGTAATCACAACATAAGATAAAAATCAGAAGTGAGTAATACACCGAATCTTTTTAAACACTTCTTCACAAAAGGGAAATACACAATTTCAGTTCTTGAGTACGTAAGAACTCAAATCACATTGAAAATATTTCTAAAGGAGGGCATGGTGATTTACGATTTAAACACGACTTCAAATCAAATGCACTAGCTACAAAAACCATGGCCTCGTTTTATATCTCACTTTAGTTCTTTTACTTTCAAGCATATTTATAGGTCATCAACAGTAAGAGCAGTTGGGATCAAGGCCTTAAGCATGATAATGAACAATAGGGGTCTTGGGCTCTTTGAGTTTCCTTTCACAATTGGGCATAACAACTTGCAATTTAAACACGATTTGAAAATATACTATCTCGACATGTTGATCACACTAAAATACTTTCTGACGGAGAACACAAGACGATAGGAGAATTTGGTGCAAATTTTTAGTATATATCTTTCCACACAAGCTTATTCGTAATAGTCAAATATATAAGGAATAACTCAGAACATGAGAATTAGAAACTTGGGCCAACCATACTTGAAACCTATGGGAACATCATGTAATTCGATTCCAAGAGAGAAGTTTAGCAAACATACCTTGTTTGAGCTTTCCTTAAGTTACTACAACGCCCCAACACTTCTGGTAATAACAATATATAGGAAGATAGTGAAAATTGGTTAATAATTAGAAGGATTCCCATGGTGTAACTCTCTTAGGCATTTTGTCAAACACCTATCGTGCAAAATAGACTACAAGGCTCTACAATGGTAATCCCTTCCTCCTTCAACCAATTTAAATAAGAAACTACCCAAAATGGTTCATTAACCTCACATACTACAACCTATTGTCACATGCATGGGCTATTTCCAACTCCACAACATAATTGAACTCATAACATCTTGCATGAAAGCTTAGGAGTAATACATACCCGGATAGATGATAACCTAGTGATTGACTTGATTCTTGAAGATTGATGCAAGATTGGATGATTAGAATGTTAGATTTTCTCATTCTCTCTCTAAGATGCTCTTATCTCTCTCTAAAATCATCAGAAATCCGCTTCAAAATGAGCCCCTAAGGCTATTTATCAAAATGGGGTCGGGTTATAAAAATAGAAAAATGGACCCTCCGAAGTCAGGTCTGCGGTCGCAGAATGGACCGCATAACAGATATGTGGCCCGCAAAATAGGCCAAAAAAATAATGCCAAGAACTGGGCTGGTCTGGACCGGTCTGCGGTCCGCAGACCACTTATGCGGCCGCAGAATCACCCAACAAAATTCTTCATGCCAAATCTGCGATGGAAAATGCGGACCGTAAAATGGATGTGTGATCGCATAAATGACCGCAAAACGTCCTTCAAATTTTAAAACTTCCTGCCCAACTCCGCGATGGATATGTTGTAAGGCCCCATAGAATATTACTTAGAACCTGGGGTTTCGTATAGGTGTATTGTGTAAGTAAACACATAGGTGTATAACGTATAGGTGTATTGTATTTAATATGTGCCACTATGGACAGTCTATGAAACACATATGTGTATTATGTATGGAATCATATGGACGGTCTATGAGACGCATATGTATATTATGTATGAAATCCTATGGACGGTCTATGAAATGCATAGGTGTATTGTGTATGTGATCCTATGGACGGTCTATGAAATGCATAGGTGTATTTTATATGAACACTAAGGACGGCCTATGAAATGTATATGTGTATTGTATAGTTAGAACCTGGGGTTTCGTATAGGTGTATTGTGTAAGTAAACGCATATGTGTATTGTGCAAGTAAACACTATGGACGGTCTATGAGACGTATAGGTGTATTGTATGTAATATATGATTTTATGGATGGT